CTATATGACACTGACTATATATGAACTTTAAAGCATTAGAACAGTACACTACAGAAGGTAGGTAGTAAATCCCGATAGAAACCTGTAATGTCTCTTCTTCAAGGAGTCGGTAGTGACCCTGAGCCCAAGCAAGTGGCTTTTATTCTCTTTTGGTCTGTTTTCTTCTGTAGGAGAGAAGAAGGCTTTCCTTTACCCTTTTAGGGTCCCTGGTTGAGTGTGAAAATTGAAGTGACAAGAACAGTAACAAGAGAAAAGCGTGCACATTTACTTGATAGATGTTTTCCCTGAGGTGGAGCCTTAATGAGGAAATGAAGACCAGGAGAAGCAGGCCTGCTATTTCTGTGCTTGACGTGGTGCCGGTGGGCCGTGCGGGAGGAAGAGCACAGCCTGCGGGTGTGAGGCCAGTGCAGCGACCTGGGGGCTGAGCACGGCCTGTCTGCTGGAGTTCCCGCCCGTCTCCCTGTGCCTTGGGAGATGGGGCTGCTCCTCTGCTCCACGTGTAGGGAGGTTTTACCACGCGTTGCAGGGAGGAAGGGTGAGGGGAGGAGAGCAGAGTGAGCGTCCTGCTTCTCCTGTTCCCCCAGGCTCCTCTGCTGGGCTGCGCACATTGAGTGTGCTGCGTAACTGCTGAGTGCGGCCTGAACCTCTGGGCTCTTCCTCTTACCTTGTCCACATCCCAGTCCTGTGCAGCTCCACTGCCTCCACCGCGTCTCTCCTCCCTCCTGCTGTTCACCATCGGCTCGCAGGCTGGGACGAGGGGCCCACTCACGTTCCTTCCCTTTCAGCCGGGTCTGTAGGAGCCCGGGGCCCGAGAAATACTGACCTTTGCTAAATACTGTTTGGAATGGCCCTTGTGTGTTTCCTTGGGGTTGGGCTCTTTTTATTCCAAGGAAGAGAAGGCTTTTCTCTCTGTTTTCCACAGTGACTCATAAGTAACGGTCTTAGTGGATACAATGGAGGTGATGGTGTTGATGTAAACAGTGACTGTACTTTCTCCTGTAATCCTCACTCTAACCCTATGCAGTCTTTAATATTTAATTCTTCAATATTTAATATTTAATTATAATTTATTTACATAAATAAATTATATTAGATAAATTATATAAATGAAATTTATTAATAATAAATATTATTTAATATTTAATGTTATTGTACTCCTTTTATAGACAAGGAAATTGGAGCTAAGAGAATTTAAGTAACTTGCCCAACATCACATCACTGATATATTTTCAGGCTGGAACTGAAGCTCAAATCAAGCTGTCTACAGAACCCTAAATTTTAACCACCAACATGATAAAAAATAAGCAATTACACATATAATTTTAAAAGAAGAGGTCTCTGGGCCGTTGTCTAGTGACACAAATTATAATTGCTTGGACGTGGCTACAGATTGGAAATAGCTAAAGTCATTTAGTCCATACCATGAAACTACTCTCTCCTACAACCCGCCCATGAATTCTCTAACAACTACTTAGAATTCTCAAATATTTGTAAGATTCAAGGACTTCATAGCCTTCAAATACATTTTGTTTTCTATTTTTTATAATTAAAAGCATTATAAAAAGCTTTGATTTCATTTGACTAAATTAAGGTGCTTTATTTGCGTTCACTCAGACGATGGTAATAAATGACAGATAATGCTCCCCAGATGGCTCCTGTGGTAAAGACCCCACCTGCCAACGCAGGAGACATGAGAGACGCATGTTCGACCCCTGGGTCGGGAAGATCCCCTGGAGGAGAGCATGGCAGCCCACTCCAATCTTCTTTTTTTTTTTTTTTATCAATACCCAAATTGAATATTAATACAAAGTGAGGACTTTAGAAGAGTATCTCTAAAACAATTATTGGTTTTAAAATACTAAAATTTTCATGCTTCGTTTGTACTTTGTCATGCGTAATTTAAACTATGTATCTTAGCTGTTCTTTTTTTTTCTTTTAATGAATATTTATTTATTTATTTTTCTCTCTCTCTCTCTCTCTTTTTTTTTTTCCATTTATTTTTATTAGTTGGAGGCTAATTACTTTACATCATTGCTGTGGTTTTTGTCATACATTGAGATGAATTAGCCATGGATTTACATGTATTCCCCATCCCAGTACCCCCTCCCACCTCCCTCTCCACCCAATCCCTCTGGGTCTTCCCAGTGCACCAGGCCCGAGCACTTGGCTCATGCATCCAACCTGGGCTGGTGATCTGTTTCACCCTAGATAATATACGTGTTTCGATGCTGTTCTCTTGAAACATCCCACCCTCGCCTTCTCCCAGAGTCCACAAGTCTGTTCTATACATCGGAGTTTCTTTTTCTGTTTTGCATATAGGGTTATCGTTACCATCTTTCTAAATTCCATATATATGTGTTAGTATACTGTAATGGTCTTTATCTTTCTGGCTTACTTCGCTCTGTATAATGGGCTCCAGTTTCATCCATCTCATTAGAACTGATTCAAATGAATTCTTTTTAATGGCTGAGTAATATTCCATGGTGTATATGTACCACAGCTTCCTCATCCATTCGTCTGCTGATGGGCATCTAGGTTGCTTCCATGTCCTGGCTATTATAAACAGTGCTGCGATGAACATTGGGGTGCACGTGTCTCTTTCAGATCTGGTTTCCTTGGTGTGTATGCCCAGGCCACTCCAGTCTTCTTTCCTGGAGAATCCCGTAGACAGAGGAACCTGGTGGGCTGTGGTCAGTGGTATCACAGAGTCGGACACTACTGAAACGGCTTACTGCAGTGACTCCACTATTGTTTCTGCTCCTCTTAAGTTGTGTAGAGTTTTTAACTCCTTGAATAGTTTCTAGGATACTGGTCATATATGGAGGACTTGGATGAATAAGTAAAATGAGACTATTTAAAATGTGTATTTCCTGATTTCTGTGTTGTCAGCTTTTGGAATAGTGGTTTATATCCCACCACTCACTTTTAATATATTTTGTATTCTGTGTATCAGTTTATAGTCAGAGTCAGAGGCCCCATATGGCATGGTGGATATGGTGGATATGATACAGGTGGATATGGTGGATATGATACAGGTGGGTATGGTGGATATGATACAGGTGGATATGGTGGATATGATACAGGTGGATATGGTGGATATGATACAGGTGGATATGATGGATATGATACAGGTGGATATGGTGGATGATACAGGCTCCCGCTTATGTCCTGAGGCCCCTGAGCTAGTGTGTGTTGATTATTGAGTCCTCTGACCTCCAGGATCACACTAGTGGTAGGCTTGTAGGGGGTGTGTCTCTAGCTTCTTAATCTTAAAACTGGAAGAAATCTCAGAGTGATCTCCAGCTCAGTGACCTCGTTTTATTTATGAAGAGAGACTGATGCTTGTTATTCATTGTAACTTCATTGTAACTGTATCTCCAGGCCAGGCCAGTCATCTCCCTATCAGAAACACTGAGTGCCTTCCAGGGCTCACCCATCCTGGTCTTGTGGGAGATGAGACTCCCTCATGGCAGATGAATGAAGAAAAGCTAAGCCTGTCAGAGAGCCAGTGTCTGGGAGAAAATGGACTGAAATGGTACACTGGCTGTCTTAGTAGAGGGTCAGTGGGCTGAGAAGCACAGTCCAGGTTAGAGGCAACCGCCCAGAACCAGAGGCCTCCCTGTAGCCCTGGGAGACCTGAGAGTGGAGCTGAGGGAGAGCCTGGGCCAGCTTGGGAGCTGAGGAGCCCTGAAGCCAGGGTCTTGTGACGCAAGGACAGTTGTCATGACCATGGATGGGAAGAAAGGCACTGTGTCCTGCATCCAGTGATTTTTTTTTCTTTCTAGTAAATGTTACTTGTTTGCCATGAGGGTAGCTAGAACTTGATCCTGGTGTTCCAAAAGAGTGCTGGACTAGATTAAGTCAGAACATGGCGTTGCAGCCGGAATCAAGAACAGTGAGGAGCTGTCAGGACTCCACCCTGCCAAGAACAGAATGTCCAACTTCAGCCAGCCCTTCTAAGAGAGGGTTTACCCTTCACCTACCTGAGCTGTCAGAGCCTGTGCAGTCTCCATGACTGGCTGATCCAGAAGGCTGCACTTTCTTTCCACCTCCCTGCTTCAGCTTCCAGGGCATCATTTCTACCCAAACCTGTTTCTACTTGTGGTTTAAAGATGGCTGCCATAGGCCTGGGGTTCGGGGGTTCCTGTTCAGCTTTGGTGAGATGCTGAGAGTTTCTGCCCCAGCATTCTGGTCAAGTCCTGAGATCAGCTCTGATTGCGTAGCTCATGTGCTCAGCCTTGGACCCAGGCCTGATTTAAACCAACCAGGGACAATTAGTGGAATGAGAGAAGGAATGCGCTTATTCTGAAAAAATATGGGATGCGGAGAGAGAGGTAGCTACCGAAATAAAATCTGGGTGCTGTTAAGCCGAGAAAGACAGGAAATGTATTGGACATTCAACTCAATTCACATAGACAAGAGGCCTGGACTTCTGAACTTCTGAGCTGAACTTACCCAGGTTCTAGACCCCAGCACTAGGGAGTCTGATTCAGTTGGTCTGCATTTGAACACATCTTCCCTGTTGATTCTGTTAATGAACCACCTATGAGAACCATGGGAATACCTGACTTTGGAAAAAAATGTTAAAAATATTTATAAATTCTTTTTCCTTGTAATAATAGAACATGTCTATAACCTAAAACTTAGAAAATACAAAAATGATAAGACAATTTGAAAAGTTTTGCTTTTTTCCCTCCTAGCAGGGAAATGCCTGTAGTGTTTCCTAAAGAGGGACAGTGGTTCAGTTAAAGTACTGAGCATGAGCTTTGAAAAATCTATTGTGTTCCTGTTTGATGAATGCTTTACATTTCATTAGAATTCTTCCACAGCCTCAGACTAGTCTTGGGATACGTGCCAACAGCTAATGGCCCTGCTGCACTGCTAACACACAGGGGCAGAGGATCTCTGTCATGTCATCCCCCAGACTGGCTTTATGGAGAGAGTCATTCATCAAGGCGTGCAGGGCACCCTGCACCCATCCAGGCCTGGAGGAGGTGACCATGGCCACTGAGAGCCCTCAGACCTGGGAGAATCCCAGCGAGGCCCGGCCTCCCCTGCGTACGACTGCCTTCCGTGGTGGCATTCCCTGTGGTCAGCTTTGGTCTTGCCGTTCGCATGCTTGGTTGAAGGTGAGCTGTGACCTCACCTGTATGTCCAGCGATACACCTAACCTTCCAGCCGGAGGGACTTTTGTCACTCCCAGTTCAATGGGCAGCCTGTCACTCTTGCCTTGGCAGTTCCATGTTCACGCCAATTGGAACAAATTTAATATGAGGAAGAATTTGTATATCTGATAAGTTTTTAAGTGAGCAGATCATGGCATTTTGGGCAAAGTCTTAGCCACTGAAAGTCCCCCAAGAAAGATTTCTGAAAGTTACTTTACAGCCTGTGGAATCTATAGCTCTATAGCAGATTTTTTTCCTTCTTTTTATCCATTTTGTTTGTGCCACAGATTCTTCTGAGGATTTTAGGAAAGCTATGTATACTTTCCCTAGGAATATACACATACGCATACAGTAATTTCAGTAACTCTTGGCTTATTTCTGAGCCGGTTAATGGAACCCACATAGAGAAATACAGTGCCTTGGATGGATGGCTAGAAACATGGACTCTTGAGTTAGACTGCCCTGATTTATTGATTTGCCAGCTCTGCTACTTACGTATCTTCAGCAAGCTTCTTCCCTTCTCTGTCCCTTTGTTTCATTGCCTGTGATTTGGGGCCACTTCAAGGACCCACTTCCTGAAGCTGGGTCAGCAGTAAGGGAGACAAGGACCTAACTTGCCAAGGGCCTGGTGCTAGAGACATCAGGTTTAAGGAAGACCCTGGATTTGATCAGTTCTTTGATGATAAATAATCTCATTCATTGACTTAAATAAAGTTGTTGCAGACACTGTCCTCTAGAGCACACAGCAGCTTCTGTAGACACCGTGTAGTTTGCTCTGCAATGCGAAACCACAGAGGGTTTTAAGTAAGGGAGGTGCTATGATCTGATTTTTATGTTTTCTTTTTCTTTGCCTTAGGTGTGCAGATGATGCACACAATGGAAGCAGAGAGACCACTTGGGGGAAGAGAGCGTTTACCTGAGACGATACTTCGGGTGTACACAAGGGACTCCACGGGCCCAGAGGCTGGGGGCTAAGGGGAGAGCTGCGTCCCTGGCTGGTGTGGAGGTGGAGAGCGCCGGGGAGGAGCCCCGAGGCCTCTGGCTCAGGCGACGTACGGTGCAGTGCCTGAGCGCCACTTACCAGACAGCAGCTGGCTTCTGCTTGTTTTTATTCTGAGGTGGACCAGATAATAATAGCAATCAACTTTGGTTTGAGTGCTTGAGTTGGAGAGACCCGTGGTTGACTTAGGATGCCTGGGGAAGTCAGATATCTCCAGGTGGCTGGGTGTATTTACCCCTGTGAGTCATCCAGGCAGAGGCAGTGCATATACTCTTAAGTCCTCTGGAACCTGCAATAACAAAAGAACAGAACCCTGAAGCGAGGCCAGAAACACATCAGCATTCCTTTGTCAAAACAGAGGAACCAGTAAAAGAAATTGAATTAAGCCAGAGGAAAGGAGGAAGATTGTGATTTGGGTCACAGACTCTTAAAGAAAGGAGAGAAGAAGGGAGTGTGGCTTTGAATGGTCATGTGGGATTAGGGTGGAAAGGTTCCTGATGTTGGCCTGCAGTGCTGGGGGCAGGCTGTCAGTAAGCTGACAGGGAGGGGGCGCTTGGGAAATGACCAGGGGCGCTTGGGAAATGACCAGTGTGGCTGCACACGACTTCCTCAGCCTGTGGGTTTAGGAGCCGAGATGGGAAGGAGTCCAGTGAAGAACTGGGGAGAGGAGTGTTCAGGGATGAGGGAAATTGTCATGGGGTGAGATCCAGGGCTTTCCTGGGGATCTGGCCTGTGGATGTGAGGAAGGCTTTCCTATTCCCAACTCTCAGAGGACTTTCAGTCCGAGCCTTGCCTTTTCTCGCAGGGGTCCACAGCTTCTACTTGTATTGACTGACTCTCTAGGACCTACCTCTCAGAGATGCAGGAGTGCTGCCCCCTGGAGTTGCGCCTGCCTGCTCCTTTGGCCAGGCTTTCTGCTTGGCTTCAGCCCATCCACATGTCCCAGGCTCCCGGCTGCAGGGACGGTTAGAGGGTGGACATGCATCCCAAGTCAGGCTACTCAGAACAGAAGACACAGTTGCAGGGGTGTCATTTAAACTCTCGGGGTTGCAGCCCTAGTTTCTTGCAGGTTTGTACCACTGTCTGTGTGATGGCCCTGGTGCTGCCGCCAGCATGTGACCGTGAAGGTGGGAGTCAGCGGAGGACCTGGGGCGGAACACTGAGGGAGGGGAGTGGGCACTGCCTCCCCATCTAGCTTCTCCAGACGTTCAACTACTACATTCCTCTTACTGCTTGAGTAACAAAACACGTCTCAGTTAATACACCCTTCCATTTCTTCAGACACAGTTTTAGAAATAAAAAAATAAAATGTTCATTTTTTAGAAATTCTTTGAAGTTTACAGGGATATTTTACATCCATTATCCCATTTGATCCTGACAAATATATGCACCATTTTATAGATGAAGGTCATTAATGGGCAGTCAGAAACTAGAATTCACATTTCTGGCTCTTACTCATGACATCACCATGTAAATTCCTTTTAAAAATAGTCAGTTGAATATTGAATGAGCAGTTTCATATTCCACTGCTAATTCTGTCTCCATGTTATGTTTATATTTTGATGTTTTGTTCTAAATCACAGAAGCTCTTTGTAAAAACTGTGGCCTTTATTGAGTAATCAATATCTTAGTATGAAGATGCAGCAAGTATTAATGAATTAGCAAAGAAATCACAAAGCTGCTTTAAATGCGTTTACCCCAACAAGCTCAGACAGGTTACATTCCAGAGTCCTGAAAGCACGTGCAGGTTTTATCTTATTGATGATTTTAAGATTATTATTATTGTCCATATTTGAAAATTTTTGGAGAATGGGAGAGACTCGAGAAGAGTAAAGCTGGGGAAAATATGACCTGCTTTTCAAAAGGGAGATACTAGGAATTACAGATCTAACACTATGCTTTGTCACTCAGTCATATCTGACTCTGCAACCCCATGGACTGGAGCTGGCCACGCTCCTCTGTTCATGAGGATTCTCCAGACAAGAATACTGGAGTGGGTTGCCATGCCCTCCTTCAGAGGATCTTCCCAACTCAGGGATCAAACCCAGGTCTCCCTCCTTACAGGTGGATTCTTTACCATCTGAGCCACCAGGGAAGCCCATGAATGTTGGAGTGGGTAGCCTATCCCTTCTCCAGGGTAACTTCCTGACCCAGGAAACAAACCGGAGTCTCCTGCATTGCAGGCCAATTCTTCACCAGCTGAGTTACAGGGAAAGCCCACATACCTAATAGTTTATAGAAAAGAATCAAAAACAGTTCTAGAACAAGCAATGTTCTATCTGTGGGAATTTGGAGAAGAATTTGACAATTACTGGTGTAAGTCCTGTCTAACTAACCTGGTCTCTGATAACAAGTCAATTGTTAGTATAAAACAAAGGCTGTAAGATCCAAGGGTTCAGTAGATTTATAGGTAGTTTTAAAACCTCCCTGAAAATGAATGACTGTGTGTGTGTGTGCATGCTTTTGTGAGAGACTCAACTGCACAGAGAGGAGTTTAAGTGTACACTGCAGTTGATGGCATGCTGCCTGCTTTAGTCTGTGCAGGCATCTTCTTCTGTTTTATATTAATATTTTCATTTTTAAAACTATTTATTTTTGGCTGTATTGGGTCTCAGTTGCAATGCACAGGCTTCTCTCTAGTTGTGGGATGCAGGCTCTGTTGTTGGGGCACTCAGGTTTGGTTGACCGTTGCAGTATGGGATCTTGGTTCCCTGACCAGGTATCAGACTCACATCTCCTGCATTGGAAGGCAGATTCTTAACCACTGGACCGCTAGAGAAGTCCTCCTCTTTTATTTTATTTTCTTCCATCCCCACTTCCAATGCCGTTTTGCCTCTTAGACACTCAGTCTGCTGTATTTAAGAAGTGAACTTCCTCTACTTCTTCGATAGTATTTAGGTGTTGGTGTACTTTGAAAATGTATGGTGGTGTGTATGTTTATTTAGATTTACGTAAGTATAGCTGAGATTAATCAAGTCCTCTTTCTCCCACTGGATGTTACGTCTTAACTCTACGTGCACTTGGTGAGTCTGGTTTATTGCTCCTGCCTGTTACAGTTGCCACAGCGTTCCATCACATGCACCGGTCACGTTTTACTTGTCCCTTTGTCTGGAGATGAATCTTGCCTTCACAAACAGTGCTGAAATGAGCATGCTCGCACATGCCTCCTCATGGACCTGTTTGAGAGGTTCTCTGGGCTTTCCCAAGGGCTCAGCAGTAAAGAATCTGCCTGTAGTACAGGAGGTGAGGGTTTGATTCCTGGGTTGGAAAAATCCCCTGGAGGAGGGAACAGCAACCCACTACAGTGTTCTTGCCTGGAAAATCCCGTGGACAGAGGAGCCTGGCAGGCTACAGTCCAAAGGGTCGTAAAGAGTCAGACATGAGTGAGCACACATGCATACTGGAAATAAATGATGCCAAAATGTATATATATACATATATATATAGGAAATAAATAACACCAAATTGTTCATTGTATTGTCTGAACTAGTTGTAACTCCCGTCAACTCTCCATGAGGGTTCCTTTTCTCATAATCTCAGTGTTCAATTGATAGTGCTATAAAATAGTCCCCAGTGTAACTATTCCACAGTTTATTTACCCCATCTCCTACTGATGGACATTTTAAACTAGTAACTTATTTGCAACAATCTTGTTATGATCATTCTGGTAGTGGTACATATGTGCAAATTTCTCTAAGGTGTTAACTCAAGCAAGAGGTAGCTGTGTCTTAGGATATGTGACTGCTTGAATTTATAAGGAAGAGCAAGTTTCTTGCCACAGTTGTTCCAACAAGTTACCTTCCAATCAAAAGTGCAGAAGAGTTCTCACTGACTTGTATCCTTTGGGCATAGCATCAAATTTCTTAATTTTTGCCATGGTTTCTATTTAAAATGTACCTTCTTATGGTCTAAATTTGCATTTCCTTCACTGATAATGCAGTTGATCATCTTTTCGTATGTTTATCTGCTATTTGTAATTCTTTTCCATGTAAAATACCAGTTCACATCTTTGTCCATTTTTTGTTTGTTTTTCTGATTTAAAGAATTCTTTCAATACTCTAGATATTAATCCTTTGTCTATTTATGTGTTTTGAAATTCTCCCTTATTTTATGATGTCTTTATTCTGTGGATGGTGGTTCTCAATGAATATATATTAATTTTAATGTAGAAGTTTTCAATTCTTTCTGTTCAGTGATTTTTATTTGTTTAAGAAATTCTTCCCTACCTTTGGGTCATAAAAAATATTCTGTCAATAAAAAAGCTGGTCATTTTCATATTTTCTTCTAGTTTTGGATCAGAGTTATTCTGCCTTCTTAGAATGGGCTGTGAATATTTTATCTTTTATTCTCTGGAAGAGTTTGTGTACTTTAAATGTAGTCTTTCAAAATTTGATAGAATCCTCCTGAAAAAAGATCTTGCCTCTGGGAAGATTTTTTTTTTTTTTATGAAGAATTTTTTTATTTTTTTTTTCATTTATTTTTATTAGTTGGAGGCTAATTACTTTACATCATTGCAGTGGTTTTTGTCATACATTGAGATGAATTAGCCATGGATTTACATGTATTCCCCATCCCGGTCCCCCCTCCCACCTCCCTCTCCACCCGATCCCTCTGGGTCTTCCCAGTGCACCAGGCCCGAGCACTTGTCTCATGCACCCAACCTGGGCTGGTGAACTGTTTCACCCTAGATAATATACGTGTTTCGATGCTGTTCTCTTGAAACATCCCACCCTCGCCTTCTCCCAGAGTCCACAAGTCTGTTCTATACATCAGAGTCTCTTTTTCTGTTTTGCATATAGGGTTATCATTACTATCTTTCTAAATTCCATATATATGTGTTAGTATACTGTAATGGTCTTTATCTTTCTGGCTTACTTCGCTCTGTATAATGGGCTCCAGTTTCATCCATCTCATTAGAACTGATTCAAATGAATTCTTTTTAATGGCTGAGTAATATTCCATGGTGTATATGTAC